CCCTTTTTTTAAGGCCGCCAAGGGATGAAATGCTTTGATCCTCAGACTAACATTAGAGCACTTCTGCCAAGAACAGAACATGACAAACACAGAATTTATTTTCCCTTCATGTAAACACTGAAGAGTCTTCAGAAAGAGGTATCCATAGACGGACTACATGTCCACACTCTGAGAAAACACAGCTACTCCAAAATCAAGGAAATAGCTGGTGAGGACAGGAAGTCAGCACCCAGCCTTTGAATATTTTTACCTGGGAGGCTTTGAAGTGATATGATATGTAAGATTTGTATCTGTGATTATCGATAAAATTTATAATAATATATAACTAAGAGTCTGTGTGATTTTATCTGTTGTTGAGTTCTTCATGATAAAGTGTGTTCAGTTGTAAGTTGTGCATTTTGCTAGTATACCAAGCTTCTGACCAAAAGACAAATGGTTAACTCCTCCAACAGCCATTCTTGTTAAAGTCAGACCTTCATTTACTGTTGCTCCTCATTGCACCAACCTAAAACCCGTCACTATGCTAACAAGAAAGTTTATTTAATGACGAGATACGGAACTAGCCCTAAAGCTACCTGGATTTGGAGCTCAGACCAGTACCCATTTTTCAAGCCTTCCAGTTAAATATGGGCTCTCAGGCTCTGGACGCTGTCTTGTCTCAATTTCATTCCCTTTGCCCATGTCCTCATAGTCCTAATTAGAACCCTCCCATCATCGAGTCCACACAAAAGAAGTCAGTGATCCATCATTCTTCGTAGAGCCGCTCATAGTGGCCTAGCTTCCGTCATGAATTACCCTGAACCAGTCCCTAGAGCAGCCTGTTCCCCAGCTTGGGCCCAAAGCCACCTGCCATCTTGGCTGGCCACTGTTTCGTCAGCTTGACCCAGGGTAGTGTCATTCAGGAAGAGGTGATCTTTATTGAGAAAATGCCTCTCTAGGCAAGTCTGTAGGGTGTTTTCTTTATTGGTGATTTATATGGGAAGACCCAGATCACTGTGGGTGGTACCACCCTGAGTGGTGTAAGAAAACAGGCTGAGCAAACCATAGGGAGCAAACCAGCAAGCAGCACTTGTTCATGGCTTCTCCTTTGGTTCCTGCCTCCGGGTTCCTGTCTCTACTTCCTGCATTGACTTCCTTGTATGTGCACTGTTTAATAGAACTATAGACAGAAGTCAGCCCTTTCCTCCCCAAGTTGCTTTTGGTCATGGTGTTTTATCACAGCAACAGATACCATGCCTCCTTCAGTATCATGGAAATGGGAGGAAAAGCAAGGCGTCCCACCCAAACTGCATGTTTAAGAATGAAAAAGAATGGTTTTTCAAAGAGAAATGAAGTTACTGCAACAAAGATTGGATTGTTAACATTTTAAGTAATACAGTTTGGCTTTCTCTATAACCAAAACTGAGCTACTATAGTTGTAAATTTCCGTCAATCAAGTAAAGTATTACAAATAGGAAAAACTAAGTCTAAATTACATAACCTACAGATGAGATGCTAGTGAATTCCTGTTACTTGCTAAGCAGCAGCTGTCAGTATTGTTCGGTGAAGCCAAACTCATAAGGAGACTTGCAGGTTTGTGTGACCTCTGTAAGCCAGAGACCCAAGAGCCAGGAGTGGGATTCAGTCTCAGCCCAAAGTCTTGAAAACCAGGAGAGCCAGGAGTGGAAGAAGAGGGGTAGAGGATGCAGCGAGATGTGCTAGCAGGTAAGGAAGGGGAAGGCAGGCCTGAATTCTTTCCTCGGCATCTTGCTGACAGACTAGATGATGCCCACATGTTGAGAGGTCAGTCTCCTCTACTGAGTCTACCAGTCCATAGACTGATTTCAGCTGGAGAACCCTCATAGATACACCCAGAAAAATGGCCACTCCTTGCCCAATCTAACTGGCACATAAGGTTCGCTATCATGACCTCCTTGCTGGAAGTAAAACTTGATGAAGAATGGTGTCTTTCTTTTTTAAAATGTGGCTGTATTTCAACTCTTATTATACAGTGGTTTCCACTATACCAAAAATGTAGGATAAAATGTCAAATTTTACAGAGGTGAAGTTTCAATATTAGTTATTTCCATGGTTCTCATCTAAAATTTATCTCCTGATTTATACTTACGTTTTCTCTTTCAGGGCTAATTTCGTATACCGAGTATCTTTTCTTACTTACAATCCTCACGAGTAAGTATACTGCTTCTCTGTACAACAGTTATGTGGAGTTCTCATTCTTAACAAGCAGGACTTGAAATTTGGTGTGTGTGTGTTTATCACTAAAAGCATTGGGAATAGAGCTGGTGAGATGTCTCCGTGGGTTAAAGTGCTTACTGTACAGACATGACAACCTGAGTTCGGACCCCAGCATTCAGAAAAACAGGCATGAGGGGATGCACTTGTAGTTCCAGTGCTGGGGGTGGGGCTCACTGGCTCCCCAGTCTAGTAGAATAGCAGCAAAAGTTCCAGATTCCGTGAGAGCTATAAGGTGGAGAGCAATAACCCAAATCTCCATCAGCCTCTGGCTTCCACAGGTATGTGCACAGGTGAACTCACACACGCACGCGCGCATGCGCACACACACACACAAATCTTAATCTCTCCATCTGCAAAATAATGTTAACTTAGAGTGGGCTCTTCTACCCACACACTATGGCACCTTTGTTTCTGAGACAGAGTATTTGCTGAACAGAAAAACAGGAAAATTGTGGTTAGTATTTTCTGAGGGAGAAGAAAAATCATAGTGTTGTTCAAGAGAAGGAAAAAAATCATGATTAAGTATTCTCTGAGAAAGAAAGAGCAAAATCATGGTTAGCCTTCTGAGAGAGGGAGGGAAGGAGGGAGGGAGGAAGGGAGGGAGGGAGGAAGGGAGGGAGGGAGGGAGGGAGGGGAAGGAGTTAGTTCTATAGTTCTGTGGAGAGTCTCACAATGTGACCCAGACTGACCTGAAACTCTCTTAAATTCACAGAGACCCTTTTGCCTCTGCCTCCAAGATTAAAGGCATGGGCCACCATGTTTGGCCTCTTAGGGATATTTTTTTTAAAAAACTGAACAAGATTCTTGCCTTTCAAAGTATTCCAGTAGTGGAAACAGAAAAGATTAAGGAATTCTCATATGTGGATGAGACTAAGCAGACATGGCAACTAAATGCAAAATACCTTA